CCGCGCTGCCCGGACCTCGATCTCTGCAGCTGCCACCGGCCCGACGGAAGTGAGAATGGGGGCGGGTGAAGCGCTTCCGGGGCACGGGGCGGGCGGGGCGGGGGCAGAGCCGGTTCACCGCAGGCTCTTCGCTGGCACCACAAGCGCGCGGGGGGGAGGAGAGAGAGAGAGAGAGAGTGTGTGTGTGTGCGCGGGGGGGTCTCTGCTCTTGGCCCCGGGCCCGGCCCGGGTTTGCCTGTGTCTAGGGCTCGCAGCGATGTTCCCAGGCTCCCGGGGCGGCTGTCAGTGTCCCCGGCGGATCAGTGGCCGATCGCTCTCTGCCCTCACTTTCCTTGCGGGGTTCTCCCCATGGAAACTCGGCTCCGGAGTGAGCCTGTGGGGCAGTAGCTTCCTGACACTCGTCTGTAGGGGATAGTCTGGCTCGAGTGTCACCGTGGTACTGAGACTCCTGCCTCGCGCCTGCTGGCTGCACCCTCTGCTGCACGGTGCTTTGTGGTGTCCCCGGGGGGAGTCTGCACCTAAACATTCTGCACACAAGAGTTTAAAATTCGGCAAGTTTTATTTGTCAATAACTAAATGCAGAGGCTCCAGCATGGCCGCGGGGAGCACAGGCCACGGGCTGTATGAAGATGGGAGATCACCCTGCAGCCTCCCCTCCCCCGGACACGGATTCAGGGGTGAGGCTGCACCTGACCTTGACACAGCACAAGGCCTGAGCCTACCCCAGAAACATCCTGGGTCCCTGCCGCTCTGTGCCAGGCGCACCAGGTGTGAGGCAGGCAGGCTCAACCAGGCAGGATCCAAGTGTGGAGGAGCTCAGAGTGGGAGGATGCAGGTGTGGGGTGAGAGGATTTTGTGTGGGACAATCTGGGTGCAGGCAGCTCAGTGGAGGGTCTAGGTGTGGGGGGATCTGGATGCACAGAGGCTTGTTGGGGGGTTCCAGGTGCAGGGGCAATGGGACTCTGCAGGGGCTTCCAGGTGAAGGGCTCAGTGGAGGGGTCTGGGTGTGGGGGTCTCAGCAGGGGGGTCTGGGTGCTGGGGGAGTGGGGCTGGGATCTTGGTGCAGCTAGTTGGTCAGTGGCGTGGGGGTATGAATGTGGGGGCTCAGGGAGATGCATGGGGTGGGGCTTGTCAGGGTGGGGGTTTGAGTGTAGGGAGCTCAGTGGGGGGTGGTCTGGGTGCAGGGGTTGAGGTTCAGGTATGGAGGGCTAGGGGGGTTCTGGATGTATGGGGTGAGGCTTGGTGGGGGTGTCGGTATGGGAGGTCCAGATGCACAGGAATTGGGCGGATGGGAGAGCAGCTTCCTATACAGTGACCCCTCCCCCTGCAGCTGAGGAGTGATGGGGGCAGGAAGCAGGGATGGATGCTGAGCTTCCTGCAGCTGGGGGAGGTTTCTGGGGATGGCTCTCACACAGCCCCAGATGCTCCTTGCTGGGGAAGAGGAAGATCTGTCATCTCCTGCCTCCAGCCCAGCCAGGACTAGCAGCTGATCCCGGTTCAGGGTAGGAGCCACTGGCTGGGGTGTCCCCAGGCCTGTAGTGATTTACCTCTTTGCCAGGTGCTCTGGGTGCCTGAAACTATGTACCTACTCTGCTAGGGAGTGGTGCGTAGCTGCTCTTGCAGCTTCCCTGTCCGAAAGTCATTTTTCTGCGGGGAAGCAAAGAAATCTGTGGGGGACCCAAATTTTGCACATGTGCAGTGGCACAGAATTCCCCCAAGAGTATTATGTGAAGGGCTGGTCAACACTATCGAGGTAAGTCGATCTAAGTTAGGCCAGTTCAGTTACCTAACGAGTTAGCGTGTCTACACTAGACCCGCTAAATTGACACTGCTGGATTGATCACAGCGGTGCCGATTTAGCCCGTCGTGTAAACGTGGCCCATTTCTATATCTAGTTTATGGTCACTAAGTCTGTGTTTGGTCAGAGACTGCATATTCCAGGGTGTGAGGGTCTGTTAAGGCAAAGGGTTTGGTGGGAGTCTGTTGGTGCGAAGTTTGTGGGGGTCTTTGGTCTGAAGTCATATAGGAGTGGACTCTGCTTCTGTCTGGATTTAGTTTTTGATCCTTTGACATATTGCAGTGGGGGGATTGATGGCTGCTTTGGTTGGAGTTGCACCAGGTTTGATATTCTTTTCTAGTTTCTGCAGGTGGTGGAGGAACATCCCAGTTCTGCTTTGCAGCCATTGGTGGAGGAACTCCTGGGTCCACACAGTATTTCTTTGCAGAACTGTAGGTGGGAGGTTTCAAACAGCGTGGTTAGCCGTTGAGCTACAGATTTCCTTGGAAGAGGCTCAGGTATGTACAATATAATGTGCGTTCAGTTTCTCTGCTTCTTAAATTAATGTTAATTTCTTTCAGACCTTGTTTAGACATCCATGATTGTGATCTTCTCCAGTTTGACCTATTGAGACCATATCCAGTGTGTTTCTAGTGGGTGAAAATTCCTTTGGAGATACTCTTGTGTGGGTCCTAGTCTGAACAGGTAATATAGTCCTAGAGTTTAAGGTCAGAAGGGACCACCAGATCATCCATTCTGACCTGTCTATCACAAGCCAACATCACCACGCAGCACCCACACACCAAACCCAGCAACCAAAATTATACCAGAGTATTACAGCCCACGGGAGACTAGACTAGTATGTGCCACAGGGAGAGAATAGGAGAGACCGAGGTGCATGAGTGCCCGAGGCTCCTGCAGTGGCAGAGAAATGATTAAGTGAGATACACTCAGATAATCCTGGCAAGTGACCCGCACCCCATACTGCAGCAGAATGCAAAAATTTCCTGACTCCACATATGGTGATCAGTTAGACCTTGAACATGTGAGCAAGAACCAGCCCACCAAGCATCTGAAAGAGAGAATGCTCAGTGCCACCTCACAGTCCTTCCCCACCCCATCCAGGTTTCTGAGTGGTATCATAGAATCATAGAATATCAGGGTTGGAAGGGACCTCAGGAGGTCATCTAGTCCAACCCCCTGCTCAAAGCAGGACCAACCCCAACTAAATCATCCCAGCCAGGGCTTTGTCAAGCCAGGCCTTAAAAACCTCTAAGGAAGGAGATTCCGCCACCTCCCTAGGTAACCCATTCCAGTGCTTCACCACCCTCCTAGTGAAATAGTGTTTCCTGCAACTTGAGACCATTGCTCTTTGTTTTGTCATCTGCTCCCACTGAGAACAGTCTAGATCCATCCTCTTTGGAACCCCCCTTCAGGTAGTTGAAGGCTGCTATCAAATCCCCCCTCATTCTTCTCTTCTGCAGACAAAACAATCCCAGTTCCCTCAGCCTCTCCTCATAAGTCATGTGCTGCAGCCCCCTAATCATTTTTGTTGCTCTCCGCTGGATACTTTCCAATTTTTCCACATCCTTCTTGTAGTGTGGGGCCCAAAACTGGACACAGTACTCCAGATGAGGCCTCACCAATGTCAAATAGAGGGGAATGATCACATCCCTCGATCTGCTGGCAATGCCCCTACTTATACAGCCCAAAATGCTGTTAGCCTTCTTGGGAACAAGGGCACACTGTCGACTCATATCCAGCTTCTCATCCACTGTAACCCTCAGGTCCTTTTCTGCAGAACTGCTTCCTAGCCACTTGGTCCCTAATAGCAGTGCATGGGATTCTTCCGTCCTAAGTGCAAGACTCTGCACTTGTCCTTGTTGAACCTCATCAGATTTCTTTTGGCCCAATCCTCTAATTTGTCTAGGTCCCTCTGTATCCTATCTACCACTCCTCCCAGTTTAGTGTCATCTGCAAACTTGCCGAGGGTGCAGTCCACGCCATCCTCCAGATCATTAATGAAGATATTGAACAAAACCGGCCCCAGGACCGACCCTTGGGGCACTCCGCTCAATACCGGCTGCTAACTGGACATGGAGCCATTGATCACTACCCAGTGAGCCCGACGATCTAGCCAGCTTTCTATCCACCTTATAGTCCATTCATCCAACCCATATTTCTTAACTTGCTGGCAAGAATACTGTGGGAAACCGTATCAAGAGTTTCGCTAAAGTCAAGGAATAACACATCCATTGCTTTCCCCTCATCCACAGGTTATCTCATCATAGAATTCAGTTAGGTTAGTCAGGCATGACTTGCCCTTGGTGAATCCATGCTGACTGTTCCTGATCACCTTCCTCTCCTTTAAGTGCTTCAGAATTGATTCCTTGAGGACCTGCTCCATGATTTTTCCAGGGACTGAGGTGAGGCTGACTGGCCTGTAGCTCCTCCTCCTTCCCTTTTTTAAAGATGGGCACTACATTAGCCTTTTTCCAGTCATCCGGGACCTCCCCCAATCGCCATGAGTTTTCAAAGATAATGGCCAATGGCTCTGCAATCACATCTGCCAACTCCTTTAGCACCCTCGGATGCAGCACATCTGGCCCCATGGACTTGTGCTTGTCCAGTTTTTATAAATAGTCCTGAACCACTTCTTTCTCCACAGAGGGCTGGTCATCTCTTCCCCCATGCTGTGCTGCCCAGTGCAGTAGTCTGGGAGCTGACCTGGTGGCCGTGTTAGTCTGTATCAGCAAAAACAACTCCCCGTCTTTATTCAGGCCTAATTTGATGGTGTCCAGTTTGCAAATTAATTCCGGTTCTGCAGTTTCTCGTTGGACTCTGTTTTTGAATTTTTGTTGTTGAAGAATTGCCACTTTTAAGTCTGTTATTGAGTGTCCAGGGAGACTGAAGTGTTCTCCAACTGGTTTTTGAATGTTATAATTCTTGATGTCTGATTTGTGTCCATTTATTCTTTTGCGTAGACACTGTCCAGTTTGGCCAATGTCCATGGCAGAGGGGCACTGCTGGCACATATCACATTGGTAGATGTGTAGGTGAATGAGCCTCTGATGGTGTGGCTGATGTGGTTAGGTCCTATGATGGTGTCACTTGAATAGATATGTGGACAGAGTTGGCATCAGGCTTTGTTTGGTGTTTGCAAACTGGACACCATCAAATTAGGCCTGAACAAAGACTGGGAGTGGATGGGTCACTACAAAAACTAATTTCCCCCTGTTGATACTCACACCTTCTTATCAACTGTTTGAAATGGGCCACCTTGATTACATTGGCCTCATTAGCACTACAAAAGTGATTTTTCCTCCCTTGGTATTCACCCCTTTTTGTCAACTGTTGAGAATAGCCCACTTCCACCTTAATTGAATTGTTAGCACTCACCCCCCACTTGGAAAGGCAACTCCCATCTTTTCATGTGCTGTGCTGTCATTGAATGGCCAGACAGGTTAAAGTGTTCTACTGGTTTTTGAGTATTATGATTCCTGATGTCAGATTTGTGTCCATTAATTCTTTTGCGTAGAGACTGTCCGGTTTGGCCAATGTACATGGCAGAGGGGCATTGCTGGCACATGATGGCATATATCACATTGGTAGATGTGCAGGTGAACGAGCCTCTGATGATGTGGCTGATGTGATTAGGTCCTATAATGATGTCACTTGAATAGATATGTGGACAGAGTTGGCATCAGGCTTTGTTACAAGGATAGGTTCCTGGGTCAGTGTTTTTGTTCAGTGATGTGTGGTTGCTGGTGAGTATTTGCTTCAGGCTGGAGGGTTGTCTGTAAGCAAGGACAGGTCTATCTCCCAAGATCTGTGAGAGTGAGGGATCATCTTTCGATATATGCCATTATGTGCCAGCAATGCCCCTCTGCCATGTACATTGGCCAAACCAGTCTCTACGCAAAAGAATAAATGGACACAAATCTGACATCAGGAATCATAATACTCAAAAACCAGTAGAACACTTTAACCTGTCTGGCCATTCAATGACAGACCTGCAGGTGGCTATCTTACAACAGAAAAGCTTCAAAAACAGACTCCAAGGAGAAACTGCTGAGCTTGAATTGAATAAATGGACGCAAATCTGACATCAGGAATCATAACATTCAAAAACCAGTAGAACACTTTAACCTGTCTGGTCATTCAATGACAGACCTGCGGGTGGCAATTTTGCAACAGAAAAACTTCAAAAACAGACTCCAACAAGAAACTGCTGAACTTGAATTGATATGCAAACTAGATACAATCAACTTAGGCCTGGTCCCCACTAACCCCCCACTTCGGACTAAGGTACGCAAATTCAGCTACAGCTGAATTCGAAGTACCTTAGTCCGAACTTACCGCGGGTCCAGACGCGGCAGGGAGGCTCCCCCGTTGACTCCGCGTACTCCTCTCGCCGAGCTGGAGTACCGGCATTGACGGCGAGCACTTCCGGGATCGATTTATCGCGTCTAAACCAGACACGATAAATCGATCCCAGAACATCGATTGCTTGCCGCCAGACCCTCCGGTAAGTGTAGACGTACCCCTAGGCTTGAATAGAGACTGGGAATGGCTGAGCCATTACAAACATTGAATCTATCTCCCCTTGTAAGTATTCTCACACTTCTTATCAAACTGTCTGTACTGGGCTATCTTGATTATCACTTCAAAAGTTTGTTTTTTCTCTTACTTAATTGGTCTCTCGGAGTTGGTAAGACAACTCCCACCTGTTCATGCTCTCTGTATGTGTATATATAACTCCTCAATATATGTTCCATTCTACTGTAGCCCACGAAAGCTTAGGCTCAAATAAATTTGTTAGTCTCTAAGGTGCCACAAGGACTCCTGTTCTTATTAACTACTGTGAAATGCTGGTCTCCAACAGAATGTGTTACACCCTGGCCAACAGGAAAGGCCCATTGACACCAGGTGAACTACTGTGGAACTACTTTGATTGCTCTCCCCCCTCCTCCACCCCATGAAGATGAGTCATGCAAGTGAATTCCTTCCATCAGCTGAGTTTGCAGCTCAAAGTGCAAAGGTGGGGAAGGGAATAAAAAAACCCTAACAAGAAGGAACTGTATCTCTATGCTGCTTGCAATCTGAAGGGAAGGTTTCTAGCCATAAGCAAGATGTTCCTAGCTGCTTAGCCTGGGTTAGCCCTTAAGGACATATAGAGCTTGCTTATTATCGAAGCTTCTGTTACCTTTTGAACCTTAAGATTGTAACTCATTTATAAGTAAGTGTGTACCACACACACACCTGCTTTAACCTTGGAAATAACTCACTTATTTCCTTTTTCCTATTAATAAATCTTTCAATAGTTTGTTACTGGATTGGCTACAAGCACATAGGGTGACCAGACAGCAAATGTGAAAAATCGGGATGGGGGTGAGGGGTAATAGGATCCTACATAAGAAAAAGACCCAAAAATCAGGACCGTCCCTATAAAATCGGGACATCTGGTCACCCTACAAGCACAGTCTTTTTGGTGTGAGATCTAAGGTGCAATTGACCTGGGGTAAGGGACTGGTCCTTTGGACTGGAAGTAACTTGCAGCTGCTACTCTGAAATCTAGCAATATTCGTTAGTCTGTATCTGCAAAAAGAACAGGAGTACTTGTGGCACCTTAGAGACTAACAAATTTATTTGAGCATAAGCTTTCGTGGGCTACAGCCCACTTCTTCGGATGCATAGAATGAAACATATAGTGAGGAGATATATATACATACAGAACATGAAAAGGTGGAAGTTGCCATATCAACTCTAAGAGGCTAATTAATTAAGATGAGCTATAATCAGCAGGAGAAAAAAAACTTTTGTAGTGATAATCAAGATGGCCCATTTCAGACAGTTGACAAGAAGGTGTGAGGATACTTAACATGGGGAAATAGATTCAATCTGTGTAATGACCCAGCCACTCCCAGTCTCTATTCAAGCCTAAATTGATTGTATCTAGTTTACATATTAATTCAAGCTCAGCAGTTTCTCGTTGGAGTCTGTTTTTGAAGCTTTTCTGTTGCAAAATTGCCACCTTCAAGTCTGTCACTGAGTGGTTAGAGAGGTTAAAGTGTTCTCCGACTGGTTTTTGTATGTTATGATTCCTGATGTCAGATTTGTGTCCATTTATTCTTTTGCGCAGAGACTGTCCGGTTTGCCCAATGTACATGGCAGAGGGGCATTGCTGGCACATGATGGCATATATCACATTAGTGGATGTGCAGGTGAACGAGCCCCTGATGGCATGGCTGATGTGATTGGGTCCTCTGATGGTGTCGCCAGAGTAGATATGTGGACAGAGTTGGCATCGGGCTTTGTTGCAAGGATTGGTTCCTGGGTGGGTGTTTTTGTTGTGTGGTGTGTGGTTGCTGATGAGTATTTGCTTCAGGTTTGGGGGCTGTCTGTAAGTGAGGACAGGTCAGTCTTCCAAGATCTGTGACAGTGAGGGATCATATTTCAGGATAGGTTGTAAATCTTTGATGATGCGCTGGAGAGGTTTTAGTTGGGGGCTGAGGGTGATGGCTAGTGGCGTTCTGTTATTTTCTTTGTTGGGCCTGTCTTGTAGGAGGTGACTTCTGGGTACTCTTCTGGCTCTGTCAATCTGTTTTTTCACTTCAGCAGGTGTGTATTGTAGTTTTAAGAATGCTTGATAGAGATCTTGTAGGTGCTTGTCTCTGTCTGAGGGATTGGAGCAAATGTGGTTGTATCTTAGGGCTTGGCTGTAGACAATGGATCGTGTGATGTGGTCTGGATGGAAGCTGGAGGCATGTAGGTACGTATAGCAGTTTCCAGTATAGGGTGGTGGTTATGGGACCATCGTTTATTAGCTTATTATTATTATTACTGTGATTCCTGCTATTAGGGATCATCTCTCACAATGGTTGGCTTGCCTAGGTGACAAGATAGAGCACCCCAGGGGAACTGTCTGTGATAGGGTGACCAGATAGCAAATGTGAAAAATCGGGACAGGGGGTGGGGGGTAATAGGACCCTTTATAAGAAAAAGACCCAAAAATCGGGACTGTCCCTATAAAATCGGGACATCTGGTCACCCTAGTCTGTGACTCTATGGCCTGTCTAGACTGGCAAGTTTCTGTGCAGTAAAGCAGCTTTCTGCAAGTCCCGAGGTGCACACACTGCCAAGGCACTTAGTGCGCAGAAACTGCGCAGTTGCAGCGCTTCAAAAAACCCAGCCTGACGAGAGGCGTACAGCTTTCTGCGCCGGGGCTACAGTGCTGCGGTGCCAGTGCAGATATCATGGCGATTACAGCACTGCAATTGGCCTCCGGGAGGTGTCCCACAATGCCTGTTCTCACCTCTCTGGCCACCCATTTGAACTCTACTGCCCTGCCCTCAGGTGACCAACCGTCAGCCCCAACCCCTACATTCCTTTTGAAATTTGAAAGTCCCCTCCCTTGCTTGCTGATGCGTCTCAGCGCATCTTTCCAGGTGGCCATGCCTGCTCCACGCACCAGGCGATCCTCCGCTTGGAGCAATGCTGATCTGCTGGACATCATCGGCATTTGGGGAGAGGAGGCTGTCCAGTCCCAGCTGTGCTCCAGCCGTAGGAATTATGACACTTACGGACAGATTTCACAATGCATGACAGAAAGGGGCCATGACCGGGACACATTGCAGTGCAGGGTGAAAGTGAAGGAGCTGCGGAACACCTACCACAAGGCGCGGGAGGCACACCGCTGCTCCGGTGCTGCGCCCACGAGCTGCCGGTTCTACAAAGAGCTGGACGTGATACTCGGCAGCGGCCCCACCTCCACTGCGAAGACCCCTGTGGATACTTCGGTGGCTCGCGTGCCAGTCGAGAGTGGACCGAGCCAGGAGGAGGAAATCTTGGACGAAGAGGGGGAGGGGGACCCAGAAGCAGAGGATGACTCGGAGGTCAGAGGTGCAGGCAGCCAGGAGCTCTTTTCTACCCCGGAGGAGGCTAGCCAGTCACAGCAGTTGGATCTTGGCGGAGGGCAAACAGGAGAGGAGGCCCCTGGTAAGTGGATCTGATTTTGGGAATCGCTGAAGCGAGCTGTTGGGGGCAGGAGGGTTGCAGAGAGCAGGCTTGTCTCCCACCACATGCCTAGTCTGAGCGGCAGAACAGGCTGTTGATTGACTCCCTCACTTCACGGGAGTCTCCCTCAGAGATCCCCAGGAAACTCTCCTGGAGATACGGGGCAATCCGCTGCCGCAGGTTCCTCAGCAGAGCTGCTTTGTTTCTTGCCCCATTAACAGTAACTTTCCCGCGCCACTGTGCCGTCACGGGGGGCGGGGAGGGACCATTGCTGCACACAGGCGAGCCGCATAGGGGCCATGGTGGAAGCTGCAGTCTTGGAGAAGACCCTCCCTTGATTCCCTGCTCACCCTCAGCAGCGAGATATCTTCCATAATGAACATGGCCTGTGGAAAGTGTGGGGACAGGAATGATTATCAGGCCCCCCTTACAGTGCTGGCTCTCCCCAAGAGCCACGTGCCCAGTGTACAGCAGGGTCCGGGAAGAGCGATTTCCCTGTCCCTGAGGCTACTCATCATTTTGGAGGTCTTGTGGCTCATGTGTGCTTGCCTGGGGCCAGCCAGTTAGTGACAGGTGTGAGAGTACTGGCTGTGTTTTAAAGCACTGTGGTCTGGGTGTTGCAAGCAGAGGTGAAAGTAAGCCAGTACGGGCCGGTACAGAGGACCAGCGAGAAAATGGAACATTCTCTCCCTCTCTGACTCCTCCTCCTGGCTCCAGCAATATTGAGTAGGGTTACCATACGTCCGGATTTCCCCGGACATGTCCGGCTTTTTGGTCCTTAAATGCCCATCCGGGGGGAATTTTCAAAAAGCCGAATCTGTCCGGGAAAATAGGGAGGCATAAGCCAGGATCCGCCCGGCCCCAGCACGACCCACCGGATCCGCAGCGCAGCCCAGCCGCCCCGGCTACATTGTAGCGAGCTCGGGTGGGGGGGAGGGGGCGCAGTCGCAGAAGGCTGCGGAGGGGCCGCTGCTGCCCCTGCAGGCCAGGCGGACTGCGCGCCCCAGACGAGCCCGCAGGACCACGGGGGAGGCCGGGCCCAGCCAGCAGCTCGGGCTTCCCTCACGGGCGGGGACCCCCCAGCCACTGGCGAACCCTTCCTGCGGCCCCCGCGCGGCTCGGAACCCGGCGCCGCAAGAGCTGTTTCCAGCGGGGACAGACAGGCCGGGGAACGTGCTCAGCGGTGTCAGGAAGGAGGCTGCGGCGCGGGGCGGGGAGTGCGGCGTGTGCCAGGGCTGCAGGGACCCGCGCCGCCCCAGTCGCCGCTGAGCGTCCGAAGCCCCCGCCAGGCAGAGGCTGCCGGGTGAGCGGGG